TGGCCGCCCCAGTGTTCTGAGGCCAAGATAGGGATATACGTTCCGTCTATTGCCCCGCCGCAGTTAGGGAACCCCAGCGCATTAAAGCCATCCACAATGGTCTGCACATTTCCCAAAGTCACTACCCTTGATAGCAGCTGGTCAATGATTGCGTTGGCTACTTGCAGCACAGTAGCCCCCACTGTAGATTTGCCCACTCCAAACTGATTCCCGATTCACCAGTAGCTGTCTGGTGTTGCAAGCTTCCACAGGGCTATGGCCACTCACTTCTCAACTGTGAGGGCTGCTCTCATTTTGGTGTCTTTGCGCTTCAGGGTAGGGGATAGCAAGTCACAAAGTTCCATGAAAGTGGCCCTACGCATACGAAAGTTTTTTAGCCACTGGGAATCATCCCATACTTGCAACACTTTGCAGTCCCACCAGTCTGTGCTTGTTTCCCGGGCCCAGAATCGGCGTTCCACGGCATGAACCTGGCCCAACACTACCATGATCTAATCGCCACATGCCGTGCTTCTAGGAATGTCTGTGTCCATGTCCTCATCACTATCGTAATTGTGCTGTCATCGCTTCCTTGTTTGGTTTTGCAGGTACTGCACATACTGCTGCATAATGCGCAAGGTATTTACAATGGTCAAAACTGCAGCGGAGATCTGATCGGGCTCCATGGCTATGGCGCCTGCACAGGTAATCCTGGAAAAAGGGCGCGAAACGTAGGAGAGCAGAGTTGGTGGCGAAAGCTGTGCTGCTCGGTTCACGGTAGCCGAAAAAAGGCAGTAAATGGTTGTCTTCTGTAGCTTTCACAGAGGTGGGAGTCCAGGACAGACAACACAGAGAAGCTCGGAAGCGCAGCAATAGCGGGAGAGCAGAGCTGGCGGCGGAAGCTGTGCTGCTCAGTTCACAATGGCTGAGCAGAGTTGGCAGCGGAAGTGTTCAATGAGGAAGAGAAAGAATAGATAGTAGTGATTACATAGGAAGATGAGAGGAAATGAGAGGTGGATTCACAGTAGCAGAGAGCAGCGGTGCACCGTCTGCTGAAAGCAGTATGGCGTCTGCACGCCAAAAAGGTGCAAAACGATTGTCTGCCATAGCTTTCATGAAGGGAGGAGTGTCTGACGACACACACCCAGAAACACCCGCGAGAATGTTTTTGTCCCATCATGCACTGGGAGCTTAACCCAGAATTCCAATGGGTGGCGGGGACTGTGGGATAGCTACCCACAGTGCACCGCTCCGACATTCGATGTAGCCTTGGTAGTGTGGACGCACTCCGCCGAATTCACGCGCTTTAGTGGGGACACAGAAGACCGAATGTATAAAATAGCTTCCAAAAATTCGAATAATTTCAAAATAATTTCATACTGTAGACGTACCCTTAGATTCTGTTTTCTCTCTCCTGCAGACATGGTGAAAGTGCAGAGAAAAACAGATAAAGTTCTGCAGTGATTGTCTGAAGCATTAATTATTGCGAGTCTTTCTCAATATACACCTGTTAAAAGGTACTAAGAACTTTGCTGTCCCTAAGGCAAAGCTTTTTACCTGTAAATATATGTGCTACCGGACATCTGCGGGGAGGGATAGCTCAGTGGTTTGAGCATTGGCCTGTTAAACCCAGGGTTGTAAGCTCAATCCTTGAGGGGGCCATTTAGGGATCTGGGGCAAAAACTGGGGATTGGTCCTGCTTTGAGCAGGGGGTTGGACTAGATGACCTCCTGAGGTCCCTTCCAACCCTGATATTCTATGATAATTCTGAGTGGAAGCTGTAGTTTTGCCATGCAATGTCGACATCTACCTCATGTAAAGTGAGAATACTAATCAAACTTCTTTTTATGCAACCAGTCTCTCAATAAACTGTTTCAGAGTAGCAGCCGTGTTAGTGAGTGGATGTGTCGTTACAGAGAGTAAAACTATTTCCCCATGTTTATTTTTCCCCCCTACTGTTCCTCAGACGTTCTTGTCAACTGCTGGAAATGGCCTATCTTGATTATCACTACAAAAGGTTCCCACCCCCCTCCTGCAGGTAATAGCTCACCTTAACTGATCACTCTCGTTCTTGTGTGTATGATAACACCCATTGTTTCATGTTCTCTGTATATATATATCTTCCTATTGTATTTTTCACTGCATGCATCCGGTGAAGTGGGTTTTAGCCCACGAAAGCTTATGCTCAAATAAATTTGTTAGTCTCTAAGGTGCCATAAGTACTCCGGTTGAATTTCACACAATTGAATGTTTTCATTATTTGCATCTGCTGCAGTAGGCAGTTTGGGTACAGGCTGAGGTTGCACCATACTGCCAGCAGCCATGTTAAGCTGGTGAATAGGATTGGGAGGAGGGATTTTGTAATGAAGGACAGATGCAGGGAAGGAAAAACAGGTTAATAGTTTTGTGTCCTCCATGGCGTGGGCTTCAAATTGGTTGATGGTCGGGACATTAGCATGACACAGAGGCTGAATGCCCAGCTACAGCAGCTGCCATTTTGAAGAAGTGTATGGGAGAGATGGTGGGGGGAGGGGAATGGGAGAGGCAGCTTGAGCCGAAGGAGACAGGGGGCTGGATAAACACCTGTCAAAAATGACTGCGGCCACGGGGCACCTGGAACAGAAGCTAGCACAGCAGTATAGCATAACAAAATAAAATAATAATACATTTTAGATATAAATACTTACATGCTCTTGTTCCCTGGATCGGATCTACCTCTTCAGTACCATTTTGGGTTTCTGGCTGGGAATAGGCTCATTCCTGCATGGCAGGGATCAGGCTTGCTTTCTACCCAGCCATCCTCAGGGTCTTCAGTCCCAAAAAGCTCCTGGTTTTCTGGAGACAGTTCTTCACTGACCTCCTCGTGTTCATCCTCCAATGACTCCTGGTGCTTGTCTGGAGGGAGGTGGAGCAGCAAACTTCTTGGTTTCTGCAGTGGTATAATTGATCAAAATCCTGTCCAGCTCCTCATAAAAAGGACATGACACCTGTCGATTGCTGGACCTTTTCCTAGCATCCTTGGTTTTAATGTACATTCTCCTGAGTTGTTTGTTCTTAATCCTGCACTGTTAGGTATCCCAGCTGTGGCCCTTCATGGAGATGTACTTATCCATGTCTACAGAAAGATTTTTATTCTGGTGACTAGCCACAAGAGCTTCCTGCATCAATGTTTCTCTGCAGGGGGCGATGAGATCTAGAGTCTCTGCATAGCTCCAAGAGGCTGCTCAAGGCATACTATAAGGCTTCTAGAGTAATATCACAGCATGGCTGATATACTCAAATCCAGGAGTAAATGAGCAAATTCTGGCCAATTTTTATATGGGGATGTCTGATCAACAGCAGAACAGTGGAGGGCTCTGTGACTCAGGAACCTCTTGGTGTCAACTGGCAGAGGGCACAGGGGGTGCATGGGGTTTTGCAGGTATCCCCTCTGTCAGATATATTCATAATACTATACCAAAGGGTAGCATGCAAAGTCAATACCAAGAGCCACCATAATCACTGGTCATCATCATTACTGCACAATGTATGTACGGATAATATTTAAGAAATTATGTATCTATATTGAAAGTTACATTCTTAAGGTACTAGAGAGTTAAGGCCAGTCACCAAGATGTGACATGCTCAGATGTACTCCTTTGAGGCAGGAAGTAACAGATGCTTATCTTGCTGTCTGGTCATATGTGTACTGTGTATTGTCTGAATCACAATGGAGGTCTATTTGCTTACTGAGCCAGGTGCCAACTGAAAGGGTGTGAAATCTACAAGAGACAAAATCTACAAGAACCAAAACAGCAGGGGGTGTCCTGTATATGAATGAAGACAAAGGATGGAACTTTTATATCCTAGGAGGCAATGGAACACAATGGGCCAACTAGGAGACAAGCTGACAAGCATGTCTGTCTCATGAAAGGAAGTTCATTGCCAAGCCTGGCTATAAAATGCTGCAAGGACATTGGGTGAGCATTATGCTTAAGACATCAGAGTATCTAGTTAATTAAATCTAGGTTCTAGAATGCATATTAAGATTTCATTTTATATGTACCCATTTTTTCCAGAACTTCTACATACTATTACTTGAATCTCTATGCTTTGTTAAATAAACTTATACCTAAGAACATAAGAACAGCCATACTGTTTTCACTATAAGCATATCTTAGTGCTGTTTGTTAAGCAGAGAAGTGATCTAAGGTGGAATTGGTAAACTGGGGTTTACTGATTTTTAGGAAGCAGGCGATCTGTGAATCCTGCAAGTGTCCACTGGACCAGGGACTGGACACTCCAGGGAGACACTCGGAAGAGTCGAGGGTTGGAGTTTGCCTATTGTTAACCAGTAGAGAGACAGCAGGGTCTGCAAGGCCTAGTAGGGAGTGCTTGTGTTACCCCTGGCCAGTGGAGTTGGGGAGCTGACTCCCTGCAGACACAGACAAGGTTTCGTCATGTTAAGGGCAGGTGGTAGTGAGATTCCTCACAACCCTGTGTATCCCCAGAAAGCATCACAGCCACACAGGTAAACAGACAGGTCAGTAACAGTCGCCCACAAAACAGTGTGGGACAGTAGCTGGAGGACTGCCAAAGTAGCATGCAGCAGCATTGTGTGCATATGGACAATAGACTGACCTAGTTCAACTGCATCAAACTTAGTTCACTTTGAAAGAGTATGAGATAAACGCAGAGTTAATGTGCTATAATAAATTACGCTATGTGTATGCAAGCATTTTGAAAATGGATTAACTCTATTTAGTCTGGTTTAAACCTTGGTGTTAGACAAGCCCTTAGTATTTCTGGAATTTGCCAAATAGTTTACAGAATGTAACTGAGTAGGACCACTTATCCTGAGCAAATCTAAGGCAGCAGAGGACCACAACAGAAAACTGAAGCAGGCTTGTGACTCCCCACATGCAGAAAAATGTTAGTGATCCCCAGGAAAAGGTCTTAGCCAATAACTTGAGAACTGCTGGAACAGTAGTTTTAGAGGTGGGGGGAAAGGGTTGTTGTGCCCATTCCAATGATGATCTTACTGGTATATGCACGTGCATACAGCACATTGTCAAGCACTGCATCATGGTCTACGTTGAAGCGATCAGCAATGTCACGAAGACGATCTGGACGGCTGGAATGTGTAAGATTTAAGGATTCTCTTTATATACATAATGCAAATTATGAAAATCCATAAAACTCAAGTGCAAATCCAGAGCTCCCAGACAAGGCCTTGGCCTCTCTGTTGATACTGCCAACAAGAGGAGCAATTAGTGCTTATGGTGATGTGTTTTGTTTTGTTTTTGTGATACAGAATAACTAGACAGAAAGCAAACTCTTTACATAGTCCATCAAAAAGCTGTGAGATAGTAACAAACAGTGGAATCACTTTTGAAGCAGTAATCTGGATATGAAAAGCTTCTATCACCTAGATATTAAAAATATGAGCACATTAGAACTACACAAATAGAAATATAAAATAAGTTCTGTATCTTAACCCCACCCCTATCCCCCATTTGGGTTGGATTATAACAAATTACCTAGAGATAAAAAGCACCATGTCCAAACTCCAATACCTAAATCATTTTGGCGTCTTGCTTTAGTAATTTATAATAAGAATAAACTGTTGTGGACAGCACTGACTTTGTTTTTCTTCATGATGCCATGGGCCAGATTTAATAGACAGTTCCTTACTTTTATCCATGAATGGAGCCATTTAGAGCATCTCATCTGCTTTCTGCAACAAAATGCACTCCATCAGAAGATTATGAGGATGCTGTACTCATTACAAGATGCATCAACATCCCTTTCTATCATACCTACAACTTGCTTAAGTAAAAAAGATACAAAGTGTTTTCAGTATCAATGAAGATAATTTTTCCTCCTGTGTAGCGATCTGCTCCTGGAAGCTGAGCTGTCACTAGAATGCATCATAAAGAGAGGATCAAAATGAGCAGAGGGGAAAAAGCCCCTTCCACCCCTCCAACTCTCTCTGCTACTACTTTTAACAAATAACAGATCCAACAGTTTGTAAACAACACACAAATGATCCAGTACTAATAACCAGAGTTGCCTTTATAGCAAGGCTGACTTGCCTCCACAGCTAGCTTAAGAAGGAACCAAAGTAAATTTTCTCTGTGGGATGTCAGGTCAAACTTAATCAAACTTTATGTTACTGAGCACCAACACTTACTTTGCATCTAAATTTGCATAATTTTTATTAAAAATAAATATTTAATGAAAACAACTAGTAATAATTAATGAAGAAAAACATCTTCTTGGCCTTCTCGCTAAGATCAATGGTAATGCTCTAATAGGGCCTTTCCATCTCTTAACTACTACGCTTTTACCTCACTTTATTTGGATATATATCTTTCTTGGTAGATGAATAGATGCCGACTGTTGTTTGAGTTTATCCGCAATGAACAAATTCAAATGATCAGTTTTGTCCTCATCCTACATGCAAAAAATTATTATTCTGTACCAAATGTGGCCCTCAGGCTGTAATTTGGACATCCTTGGACTAAATGAAAACACTCCCATTTTTCAAGGAAGAGCCTCAATATCTGTCATAAAGGGAGATCAGACTGAGAAATTGTTGGTTCTCCACAGTTTTTAGTAACTAAATTCCAATATTATTAACAACTACATTATTTATTATTATGTATCTGTACTGTGGTAGCATCAAGAGTCCTATTATATTTTGCACTGTACAAACGTATTACAAAGAGATGGTCCTTAACCAAGATTTTACAATATAAATTTAAGATAGGAGACAATAGTTGGATATGAAGAGACAGACTGGGGAGAGCACAAGTTAACAGCAAAACAGTTAAAATAATAAGCAGCAGTCTCAGTGGTTGCAGCACATCAGCTGCCTAACCATTTTGTAGGCATTGTGGCAAAGGTGGGTTTTAAGGAGAGATTAAAAGGAGGATAATGTAGTGGTCTCACCAATTATTACCGAGAGCTCTTTCCAAGCATAAGGGGAAGCATGAGAGAATGTATGATGGTGCTTATCCAAAAATTGGACAAATGGGCAATCACGGGTGGCACTGTTGGAAGAGTGAAGGTGGAAGTCTACATTTCTACAGAGTATAAAGATGAGAGGTAGGGCAAGGATAAGCTATAAAGAGCCTTATGCTCTTGTGCTTGACACAGTGGAAAAGGGGGATCCAGTGGAGGGATGCAAAGAGGAGGAAAAAGTGGTCAAAGCAACACACTGTGAAGAATATTTTTGCCACAGCATTTTGAATGGATTCAAAGAGGATGTAAACACTATCAATAATGTTCTGAAGCATAGAATAATGGCAAAGGAACAGATGTAAACAAAGAAACTTACAATTCATATACATCTGAATTAGTAGAAATAACACTCACTGAAGTCTTTACTTCACAACATTTCTAAAGGTAACAGAAGATGGCATATTTCCACTTCTCTAAGACAAGATATTTCCTTCTCATGTATCTAAGAAAGGAGCTCATCTTTAGGTATGTGTACCCCAGCTACATGCAGGCAGGTCTTACCTCCTAAATGCTGTTTAGTAGGTTGGTAGCGTGTTTCTTTTAGAGAGCAAAGACTGATACTGCCATAGAACTCCTTGATGAATGAGATTACAGAGGGATATAACTGTCAATATTAAGACTGTGTACCTACCACAAAGGGTGTGGGCAAGCTGGGTTTTGCCTGTTCGGAATTCTATTAAAGAGAAAAAACAAGGGGAAAAGTTTTTGCAGTTTGTCAAATACATGAGTTGTTTCAATAAGAATACACTCTCATTTATAAAACCTCAATCACCTGTATTGCTTTCTGTCTTTCAGTCCCCACTCATAAATCATATGAAGTATAGTGCAAATTGTACTTATGAACAGCAGGGCTTAGAAGTGCTGCACTGTGAGAGGTATCATGCTTGACAATTTCAGAGTGGCAGCCGTGTTAGTCTGTATCAGCAAAAAGAACGAGGAGTACTAGTGGCACCTTAGAGACTAACAAATTTATTTGAGCTTTTGTGGGCTAAAACCCACTTCAACGGATGCATGCAGTGGAAAATACGGTAGGGAGATATATATATATACACACAGAGAACATGAAACAATGGGTGTTGCCATACACACTATAACAAGAGTGATCAATTAAGGTGAGCTATTATCAGCAGGAGAAAAAAACCTTTGTAGTGATAATCAGGATGGCCCATTTCCAACAGTTGATAAGAAGATGTGAGTAACAGTGCGCGCGGGAGGGTGGGGGGAATAAGCATGAGGAAATAGTTTTACTTTGTGTAATGACCCATCCACTCCCAGTCTTTATTCAAGCCTTATTTAATGGTGTCCAGTTTGCAAATTAATTCCAATTCAGCAGTCTCTCGCTGGAGTCTGTTTTTGAAGTTTTTCTGTTGTAATATTGCGACTTTTAGGTCTGTAATCGAGTGACCAGGGAGACTGAAGTGTTCTCCGACTGCTTTTTGAATGTTATAATTCTTGACGTCTGATTTCTGTCCATTTATTCTTTTATGTAAAGACTGTCCAGTTTGAAGTGAGCTGTAGCTCACGAAAGCTTATGCTCAAATAAATTTGTTAGTCTCTAAGGTGCCACAAGTACTCCCCCTCTACTTCCATAAAGGAGCTTAATGTCTTCTTACAACTATCTTAAATGAGGAGCAATGGTTATACCCAGCCCATAATAATATCAACTCCAAGACACTGTTGGAAAAATGTTAGATGTTGCTGAGGGTGTTGGGTTAATTCCACTGACCAGGCTTAACTTTATTTTCAGTCAAATGGGTTCCAATATCAGAAGCCATGTGAGCAATCCCAGAACCCATTATAGCCACAGCTTTGCTCTCCAAAGCTGTTTGAGAATTGCACCATTGTAATTTACACCATATGATCACTATGGTGCAGTGTGTCTACACTAGGCATCTCGTTCTGGTTGTCCACAATATATGTTGTTCACCAAGAACACTCACTGCAAGTACTGCAGAGTCTATGGATTATTGCATCTATCCCACAGTCCCTGGCACAGCTCCCTGGAATAAGTGAATAATGTCCATAGAATTTAAAAACAAAAACAAAAAACAGGGGGAGAGGGGAGAGAAAAACATGTTACATGTTTTGTAAATTTGTATTTTGTATTATCTTGTTGGTTGTCCACCGTTATTCTTAGGGCAGGGGTCTCAGAAGAGGTGCCTGGGAATACCTGAAACCATCCAAATACTGCCTCATTTACTTTTGGCCAGTTCTGAAAGGAAGAGACATGTGGGGGGAATTGTGGGTCCAGATAGAGCCATAACTGCTGTTGTGCCATACGGAGCCATCTTGACAGGTGCCAAAGGCACTGCCATGAGCTGTCAAAGTTATTAGTAAAGGGTATACTGGAGCATTCTGTGACTGTACTGAGAGACTAGTTGCATTGGTGCAATGGCTGCACCAGTGAAAACTGACAACGCAGATGGGAAATAGCCTTGCTCAGAGTTAGTACAATAATACTAACAATCCAAATGGTGGTGTGATTGCCATTCCCACTTGTGTGTAGGATCCAGCAAACCTAGCACACATCAAGACATCTTACTGGAGACAAGAATGATGAAGGTGAAACCGTTTCTCAAAAAAAGAGATAAACACTGCAATAATCATGACAATCAACCTACAAAGAATTCCATTTACTGCAGAGGTATGTTGCACTCAAATGGAAATATTAGCATCGATTTTAAATGGATACTATAAATTAAAAAAAACATACTTCCATCTAAAATATTTTAACTTACTATTTTTACAAGTAATACCTAAGTTTGCAATAGCTAAAAGGTTTAAAAAAATATATTTCAGTTTGCTTACTTTGTACATTTGACAGCACTTTGTCTATAGTTATTTTCCCTACTTCCCTTATACACTCAGATAGTTATTTTCCACTATCAATTGTGTGTGTCTTCCACATAACAGATGAGAACAGAAAATCAAATTTTAAAAATGTTATTTTAAATCCATAAAAATTGGTCAAGAGACTCAAGGGTGGGGGTAACACCTGAAACAACTTTTATCTCATTTTTATCTAGATTTCAAGTTGGTGGTATTACTTTGAAGACCAGGAGATAATATTTGAAGACAACATGTCAAGAAAATATTTCATCAAACTGTTCAAGCCTCAAGGACACTTTTTAAAAGGGGAGCGTGCTCTATTTGATAAACTGTAGTTATTGCTGCTGAAGTCTTTTGATCTTGCTGATTGACTTTTGCTGTAATAATAGCTTACTATCTAAATCTGATATGAAGGGCATTCATTATTTGCTCATATCTCATTGTTTGAATTCTGTACGGTGCTGCCAAAATGACATATGTCACATCCGTGGATCTGCATACTTTATATTGCTTTACACTGTGACTTTTGCCTGTAGTAAAGCTGATGAATGAGAGAAGCTGGGTGCAAATATTTACACATCTCTTGAATTACAATAGTCTATTTTGGACTGAACTTTAAGTTTTGATTCTTTGTGGAGAAGAGTATGTATCAGCAGGAAATCTCACATCAAGGTTTCATTACTGGGAAGAAATGGGGAAGCAAAATGGGGAAATGTTTCCTGAGCAACATTGTTCATAATGGTATATCATACTGAACCAGCATGCCTCCAAATGTGAGCGTTACTCAGCTCAACCCTCATCTGCAGCAACTGAAGAAGAACAATGGCAAAACACTGACAAAGATGGGATTATTTCTGCTTACATCAACCCTGGAAAGGGACCGTCCATTACAGTTGAGCCTCAACCTCCATCTTTTCAGGTCCAGTGTGATGAGAATTTGATAGAAATAATGTAGCTTGCTTTAAAACCTAAACATCTGCTGCAGCTCTCTACTGGTAATCCACTCAATAAAATCCATTTAATATGGTTCACTCACCTCCAAAGGCCTCTGTGATTGCCATGCTTTCAATCCCACCACCCAATAGTTTACTGGAGGGAGAGAAAGAGTTAAGCATATTGAAATGCCCGCAGTCATGAGAGTAATGTCAAAAGGGGAATCTTTGCCACTTTAAGAAAATCTGTTCTCATCCAAAAGGCCCTGCACGTAACTCATGATGTGATATGGTGCAGGGGCACCACATGATCCCTGGTACACAGAGTGCTAATTCTGTCTCAGCTTCCCCTTCTACAGGTGCTCGAGTGGCCATTTGGTAGATAGAAGAGAAAAAATATTTTTTGAGAAGATAAGGCTCCACCAACAAGCGGTCATGGGATTGCTAAAAATCCTAATCTATTAATTTACCCACATTTTCAATTTATTTTCTGCTTATGTTTAGTCATTTTGCACCTGGTTTTTCCACCAAGAAAAAAAATCCAGAAAGTACCTTTAAGGCACAAGTCACTGTTAAGAATAGTGTGGAGCTGCACCAGCCCAGAAAGAACTCCTTTAGACCAGGGGTTCTCACAACAAAATTTTTGGTGGTGTCAGTGTACGGCCACCAACTCTTGCTGATGGCCACTCTGACAAACCCATCTCTCTGTCCCTGCCTCCTGCGGCCCTGCAGCAAGAACCCACCCCAGGGAAGGTGGGTTGGGAACTCACCAGCCACCTGTGAAGTCCCAGGCTCCCCGTGCCCTGGCTGGTCAGGAGTGGGGGAGCTGCTCAGGGGAGAATCCCAGTGACCGAATACCACAGCCACCTCCACTGACAAGAGCCACCTCTGACACCATACACACCAGCCCCATGTATCTCCAGAAGCGCTGCCTGGAACCCCCAAGAAGGTTCTGTGGTGCAGGGCGCCAATCCCTGCTGGTGGTACCAATGCAAACACTAAGGCAGTGCCTCTCGCTGCCCTTCGTAACAGCTATTCAGGAGCAACAGCTAGGCACTGCAGGAGGGGCCGCTGCTTTTCCCTCCATCCCAATCTCCGCCCATGCTTTGGAGGTTGTCATGGCTGCAAAAAAATCCACTGGTAGCCACATTTGAGAAACGCTCTTTTAGAAACAATGCTTCTTAAAGCTCCCAAGCAGGTTGGGGAATGCACTTGTTACACTCAGTGCTGGGTTTACAATGGCGCCAGTGGCTCCATGGAGATGGGTCCATGCTCAGAAGGGGCCCCGGACTATTCTGCTTGCACTGTGGCCCGAGATCCTGCTGGCTCCCCCTGCCCACCACTTGTTCTTCTCCGCCTGCGTGCCCATTGACCAAGGGCTCCTCTCCACCAGCTGGCTTCACCCCCTGCTCCTCTCCGTCCCCGGCCGGACCCCAGTGTATCCTGGCTCCTGGCAGTCTCTGCTTCCTACCATTTGTGGGGCCTCACCCATCTCCCTGGAGCCGAGCCACTTGGGACTGGTGCAGAAGCTTGGCCAGTCTCAGCCAGGTCAGGGGGACGGGACAGTGTGGGGGACTTGGCTGGGCCCCTCCAGGCAAGGCATCTTGAGGGAGCGTGGCCGGGGTAGGCCCTGGCCTGGCTGATCAAGCCACTCCTGAAGGGACGGAGCGACTCCTGGCCCCAGAACCAGCCTTAGCTGCTCAGCCAGCTCAGGCCCGGCAGACACAGTCGCCTCCCAGCAGGGCCGGTGAGTGCAGCCAGGAGACAGGGCTTGGGGGAGTGGGTCTCTGGGAGGTCAGAAGGGGCGGGTACTGGGCTGTGAGGGGGCAGGGAAGATGTGTGTGTGTTGGGGCACTAGGGAGTGTGGGTTCTGTGGGGGATTCTGGGCAGTTGTGGTGGGGCTGTGGGCAGGGGGGCACTGGGCATGGTGCATTTGTGTGTGGGGGATCTGGAGGAGGTGATGAGCATAGTGGGTCCGGGGGGCTCTGGGCATAGGGAGTCGGAGGGTGTTGGGCAGGGGGCACTGTGTGGTGTGGCATGGGCCCGCCCCAGAGGGGAAGGTGTCTGCTGGCAGCACAGGGCCAGGCAGGCCACTGTGCGTCTGGCAACTGCCGGTTTGTAAATAGTGCCCACGTGCTGGGCTGGGTGGAGTGGGGCTGCCCCTGCCATGCCATGCTCCATTGACCCTGGCTGGCCCCTCTGTCTGGGGACTGACCTCCCCACGCCATGCTCCATTTCCTCCATGGGGGCCCACAAATATGTTTAGTGCTAGGCCCACAAAAGATTAATCTGGCCCTGGTTACACTACCCCTTAGAAGGGTGTAAGGAGTGCTGCCTTGCACAGTCAGCTATTCTACTGTCTGGTATGAGACAGTGTGTAAAGACACCCACCTCCTCTTTGTCCCCTGTAGGATGGTTAACAAACTGGGGGTGCTTGAAGAAGTAGTCATTGCAGTCAAGACAGTATCCGGATTCTAACTGTGCCTGGCACCTCTGCAGAACACACAAAGGAGGGAAGCCTCCTTGTGCATGCGCATGCAAGAACCAAACAGTCTGCTCCTACATTTTGAGGAAGAGTCCTTTCTGATTCAGATGGGGGTTTTGCTGCTGAACCATTCCACCATATTGCACATATATTGTGTCACTTCTGGGAAAGCGGATGAATGTGGGGAATTTTTTTCTGGTTTTCCTGCATAAACCTCAAGCAAAATAAACAGGGTCAGCTAGTACTTTTACTTTTTGAAATTAGATTTGAGGTGCATGCTATTGACATGAAACTATCATGTGTGTGAGCTTGATTAGCATACAAAAAGGTTGAGTCTACTCAAGCAAATTTAGGTCCTACAATTCACCACCATTACAGTTACACAGGTGGTAGCAAGAGTGGAGACTGCAGAGTAAGCAGGAATCAGGCTTGTTATCAGTGTCACCCAACCCTACTCTGAGCAGGGTTAAATGACTCACTTCCACTTGCTTTTTTGCAAGTGCACCCACTGTGTCCTAATTGAACATGTGTCTCTAATAGTTGTTTTGTAGCCAGTTGGAGAAAAAGAATATGATTACTTTTTGGGCAAAGCTCAGGCAGGGGTTAAGTAGAGATAAACTTACTCAAATTCCTGGCTCCCAGTGGTGATATGGAACACCATCTTCCGTTTCTCGCTGTACTCAAAGGCAGTCAAGAATCCTGGTTCCTAGGGGAACACCAAAGGAAATTATTCAGTTTGGTCTGATACTTAGGAAGAATGTGATATCCTCAGCCAAAATCCATTTCTCCTCATTGACCTCTCATCTGGCTGAACCTGTCAAGGGCCATCATACTTGTCAGTCTGGCTGCTATTGACTATAAAGTAGTATCTCTGACTTCAGACTAATAAGCACAATCACTTGTAAGCATGATTGTTCTAATGCTTGCAGTGGAAAATGCTGCAAAGTATCTTAGCAGAGGAGGGAGGGTGGGCTTCTAAGTTGAAAATGCTAGGTATGTGATTTGCTTACAATTAGTTTGTTGGCTGCTTCTTTGATCTTGTCCACTTTGGCCTCTGAAAGCCCTTTCACATTGCACAATGCCCGCCTCGTTGTCATCTGGATCCCTTTGACGGTACAGATTCCCACAGACTTCAGCTTTTTAATATCAGCCACATTCTGTGAAGAAAGTTCACATTCTGTGATCACTAGCTCATGAAATGCTACGACTGGAAAGTAAAGAAAGCTTTTGTAGCCCTTTATATTGTACGTTCACATGTATGTTTATTTTCACTAAGAAAAAATAGATATAACTGCTTTGTTGCTTCTGAATGTTCTAAATATGTCCAGGGAAGAATACACTTGCTTGTTGTCAAATGTTACAGATACTCCTGGGTGGGAATGCATTCGCGGTGTTTCTGAATAATGGCTGTGCCATGACTTCAATGGAAATGTAATGGAACAGAGGCAGTGTAGTGGGTTACTTAGATAAAATAGTAGCAGAAGGTTTAAAGGACACTGCTTCAAACTGTCACCCCCAGACAAGTCCCTTCTTTGGGTAAAAACTTGAATGTGTCTCTCATTTATGCACAGGAGCTGTGTGCAAATGACACGAGGGAGAATAATGAATAACTTAATAGCTTCCATTGAGAAGCTTCTGTCTTCTCCTTGGGTTTATCTTGTGCATATCATGATGACAAGGATGGATGAAAAAAAGCCAGTCATGAAGAAGAAAAGTCTTATACATAAAGGGGTATAATAAGCTTATATTATATTCACTTAATATAAATCATTGAGTTATTTTTTCCAGTTTGAGAGAAGCCTACTGGTGGAGTTTACTGAAGAATTTTTAACTAGTAAGAAAACTGCTCCCCATTTCACCAGCATTCTGAGAACAGCATAACAAAGCCACTCACAGTATAATGTAGGGGCTAGAGAAGACATTGGAGTAATTATAGATAGTTACTGGCTAGTGCAGAAACTAATCTATGGCCAGATTTTCAAAAAATGCTCACCATCCAACTGCTCTCACTTAGGTGCTAAAATAAGTGGCCATATTTTCAAGAGCTGCAGGGTGGTAAGCACTTTTGAAAATGTGGTCCTTAATATGTAAACTATCAAAGACAAAATTTGCCCAGTGTAGATGCAGCTAGGTTGACAGAAGAATTATTCAGTTGACGTCGCTACCGCCGCTCACGGATAAGTGGTTTTTGGTAACTTTCCTAAAATAACATCCCATGCAGAACTGTCTAGATAATATCTATTACTTATACTTACAATTCCATGTTTCTGCAACAGGTCAATATCCTGAAACAAGGATTCCTAAATGAGGCAGGAGGAAAGATAGAATCTTGGTCATTTTTTTTCACCACCTTTGTTACCTTTACTGACAATTTAATGTGTCAGTTTTAAATCCTTAGACCTGGATTGCTTTTCATAATAGTACATGTCCTACTACCAACCAATATAGGCACAACAAAGAAAGAAGCAAAAGGGTTTCAGCATTTCCTCTTGTCTGCATACTGTGTAACCATCCAGAGAAACACAGCCACCAATCATGCTGAGAAACTCTACTAATGAAGCCATATAATGATACTCTTCCCTCTGACCCTCTACTATAGTGTTTCTCAACCTTCTCAGGTTGGAGACCCCTTATTCAAAGTCAATTTTTTGTGATCTCTTTTACTCTAAGCGTAAAACATGTATTGATGATAACAATAAGCCTACATAATTTATTTGGGTGTATGTGTTTTGAGACGTTGATAAAGAACAATTGATCTTGAAGGATAAGGGTGTACAGGGAGCAGGGAAGCAAGATTTTCTTTGCTTTAGATTGTAATCAAATGTACCACCCTGCAACATATTTTTTCACAATCCATAAATACCTCGTCATCCTGGTACCCTACTTCTTCTTGCACTACTTGATCCTCCATGGCTTTCATTGTGAAAGAGCAGGCAATAAGGAGTCAGTCAGTACTAAAAAAGGCAAACAAACACACCATCAGGGTGGAAATACATAAAGTAATTATAAAGTACTCTTAATAGGGGTTCAATGGCATAGTGGGATATCGATGCGCCATCACTTAAGAATCCAAATTCAGATTCTAAGCTTGGTCCTTCACCGCACGTGCCAGCAGGGGATGGATGTGTGGCAAAGGTGCTTAGCTCCCCAATAAAGGAGGGAGAATCTTGTTTTGCTCTCAGAAAACCCACTCTGCCCAAATTGGCTTAGGCAAGGTTTCCCTTTCTGGAGGGAGGACTGAAGTGACAAAGAGCCTTCCTGACTAGAGGAAATGGAAATAAAGGAAGAAAAAATTGGTGTAATTTCACAGGAGTTCTTTGGAAGTAAAAATAAAATGGAATGACTTATCTTACTTTCTAATGAAAAATATTCAGATAAGTTGTTTCTGAAACCTCCATATGGCACCACAATGTATTTCTTTCCTCGAGACAAATGGATGGAATCCCTGCCAGTTATGAAAATTTAGTCATCTGTATCAATTTTCTTTTAATATATTAATAACAAGAGGTGAAGTATTTCCTGAAGTAACATTAACAAGCTCCTTGCCCTCAGATACTGACAGAAGAAAAATTAATATAAAAGGTAAAGGGCATGTTACAGTCCTCTCTCTGTACTTTTTAAAAATAAATCCTCCCTTCCCTGTCCTGAAATGCATATAATCCTGCATTCCTTGCATTCAAAAGGGCAAGGGGACTGCTCCCCTTTGGGCAAATGGCAACTCAAAATTGGCAGAGTAGGCAGAGCCAAGGCTGTACCTTCCTACTGGCCAGCAACGGATGTAGGAAAAACTATGCCACACCCTGTTAAGAAGTGTAGCAGTGTAGACACTCCCCTGTTCTCTGGGGAGCCTTCCACTGCTCCTACTGTGGTAATGTGTCTCTGCCCCACAGCCAAGTTGGAGTTGTATCTAAAAACTTATACAGACCAACTCCAAAAATCAGGCACAAATGCACCCAGAGGATGAATTTATCTTGAAGTATATTTTTTATCTTTACATGTGTGTGACACGCATTATTGTTAGTCTGGTGCACTGAGATAAGGAGGGTTCCAAGCACACGGGACAACATGGAACAAGGCGTGGAGACGGGAGATAAAGGGTTGAGACAGAACATGGGGCTGTGCATGGGGTTGGGGGAGCCTTGAGAAGGAAAAAGCGTGAACCCTTCGCTATTACTCCAACCTTAACCAGAGTTACTGCCCCGCTATGTTTATTTCTACACCTCCCAAGATACGTGTTAAAGAAATAAAGGGGCAAATCCTACTTGTCTTCTCAGGGTATGTCTACACATTACAGTAGCTGTGCCACTACAGTGCTGAAATGTAGCTGCTTCCTACACCGATGGAATGGGTTTCTCCATTGCTGTACTTAATCCACCTCTCCCAGAGGCCGAAGCTGGGTTGAAAGAACGGCGGGGGCTAGGTCGACCTAACTACAGCATGACTCTGGGCTTGGTTACACTTGCAGATGTGGAGCACTAGAAGTTAAACCAGCCTTCGGAGACCGCAGCAGCGAAAACATTGCCATGTGTTTACACTGTCAGCTGCAAGTGCACTGGTGTGGCCACATTAGCAGCTCTTGCAACGCCACAAAGAGCAATGCATTGGGGTAGCACTTTTACCTGCAGCTGATTTCAAAACAATGAGAAGAGTGGCCACTTGACTTCAGGGGATTATGGGACAGTTTCTGGAAGCTGATCAGAGCACAGTAATGCAACACCTCCTCCACATGGATGTGGGGGGGGGGGGAGGCTGTAGCAAGCTTTATGCTGCTGGAGGAGGTGGACTACCGGGAGCGCTCCAGCTGCAGAGTCCAGGCGCTCTAAGTGCCTTGCCAGGTTGGACACCTCAGGAGTTGGGGTGCCCTGGGCTGCTTTAATGCGCTCTAACTTGCAAGCGTAGCCAAGCCCTCTGGCGACACAGCGCCGAGCCCCCTAGCTAGGCCGCTCTAATGTTCGGTTAGCTCAGGCCTCAGCCGAGCAGAGGCCACAGTAGCGCTACTGCTCTGTGCGGGACAGAGAGTCTCTGGCCAGGCGCAGCGAGAGACTGACCTGGCCGCTCTCAGCCCCGCAGCAGCCGGCGGGACCCATCCCCCGCTCACCCCAAGCGCAGCCCCCGCCGCCTGAGAGCCCCTGCCCCGCCCCGCCCGTTATTCGCCGTTCGTGGCAGAGGGGCCAGGGACAAGCTCGAGTCGCCTCCCCTTTCCCGCCTCAAAACTCCCGCTAACAAGGGCTGGCACTGAACCGAAAAGGAGGCGGCAGTTACCCGAGAGCGCGCGCGCGCGCGCGCACCCGAACTCGAAGCCATCTTGCACAGGCGCACTGGTAGGTATCCGACGCCCTCAGCCGTCTGCGGCGGTAGAACGTGACCATACCGCCTCGATGGAAGAGGTTAGGACTCTACCACTGGGGAGCAGGGAACCGGTAGAACGTTATTCTGTATAAGGGCATACGTTAACGTACATCTTCTCCCCAGGGCTCTACTCGTTAATGGAACGATCCATATTTAGCGCCCCTGGGAGAGTTTCGAGATATGAGACGGTATCAGATGTCGGACCCCCTTCCCCAGCCCGGAATGGTAGTGTCGGGCTCGCGAACGGTCACGCGGGGTGGGACTGGGGGGAAGACTCTGAAGCTAGGCAGTACCATGGAAGGGAGGGCGAGTCAGCGACGTTCTCTCCGTACCTCAGCGCGGCGCCCGCCCGTGCGAAGCCGGGGTGTGTGTGTGTGTGACGCTGCGCCCCCTAGTGGCGTCAGGAGGCGCTCGGGGCCCGGGCGGGGCTGCAAATCCCTCCTGGGCTGAGGCTCTGCGCTGCAGCCGCTGGCAGCCCGGGGGCGCTGTAGGGGCCTCCCGGCTCCGAGCTGCTCCAGGGGCTGACGGGGAACGTGGGCAGCCCGAGGGCTCCGTTCAGTCCCGGCAGGGGAGGAGGCGCTGCCCCCGTGCCCTCTGCGTGTACTGCTGCTGCCCGGTGCCGTGCCTGGGCCGGGGCACTTCTCCCCTGCTGGCCCGCCCGCCGCAGGGGCACCCGAGTGTAACAGCCCCGGTCTGGCCTACAGCGGCGGCGGGGGTGACACAACCAGCCCTGCCATGTCCTAGTCACTTCCCAAGAAAATGTGCTTTTGAGGAGTGTGGTGGCGTGGCCCTGTTGGTCCCAGGGTGTGTGAGAGACAAGGTGGGTGAGGTAATAGCTTGTGTTGGATCAACTTCTGAGGGTGAAAGAGGAGACCAGCTTTCCCGCTCGCTCCTCTTGAAACCTTCAGTTCTGGTGTTGATCCAAAGCCCATCTTCTCTTTCAGCAACAGAAGTTGGTCCAGGAAAAACTATTACCTCACTCACTGTGTCCCTCTTTTAAGGAAACTCATTGCTATCAGGACAGTGGGCCACTTCTCCACCCTTCCTCCTAACCAGCTGCTTTCCCAGATTCTCAAATGGGAATTATCTTGGTCGATGTTTTCATACAGGAACTTTTGACAAGCCTGCTCGTTGCTCTTTTGCTGGTGGAAGGACCAGATATCTTGCATTGGCACATACATTTATATTAAAAATTGCATAAAGTCCTAATATTTATATGTAACATACATAGTACATTTAAATTGCTTTTTGTCTTTAAAGCATTTTAATAATTCATCTTCACCTGTCTGAGGCTTGCAGTTTGCGGGGGCAACACCACCTACCCCCAAACCACAGCAATGTTTAGACCTGGTTTTCAAAGGTGCCTTGCACATGCAGCTCTAAATAAGGGTCATGGTAGTTCCAAATTAGCTGGCAAAAAATTGACATGCAAAATTATAGACCTCTTCTGACTATGTTGATGTAAGTAACTTGTTTAAGGTCACAAAAGGCAGCATCTGAGGAAGTCACATGCATAATCCATCAGCTCATCCTGCCTCTTCATACTGTCAAAGCAGTTACAAACATTGTACTCTTACTTGCCTGGATAAGTGAACAAAAATTATTTCTTCAAGTTCAGCTTCAATACTGCAGTTAATACTAGTTCGCTATAATTCCATAAAATATATCCTTACTGCTACAGGTGTGATAAATGAAAGGGGGAGTGGGGGATAGCTCCCTTTTATGAACACCCAGCCAGCCAGTTAGCTACACAATCCCTGTTAGTAGCTGTTCTCTGCTTGCTTTACCTGTAAAGGGTTAAAAAAAGCCAATAGGTAAAAGGAAGGGAGCAGGCACCAGACCAAAGGAGCCAATGGGAGGGCTAGAACTTTTTAAAATTGGGGGAAAAAAACTTCCACTTTGTCTGTCTGTTGTTCCCCAGAGAGAGGAGACAAAGCAGGGCCAGAGTTGGGACTATGCTGTAAAAAGCTTTGAGCCAAGTATGAAAAATCATCAATCATACCTAGAAACTACTTACTGAAAACCCCATATATGTAAGTAGATCAGGAAATGTCTAGGAAGATGCAATTAGGTTTATTTTTTTGTGGCTTGTGGACTCCTCTGTGCTAACCCCCAAATGCTTTTGTTTTGCTGTAACCATTAAGCTGGACCTCAAGAAAACCATTCTTGATGCTTGATTATTATATTTCCTCTTTTTAAATCTAACAATAGCGTAAGTTCCAGATGTTTTCTTTCTTTTTGTTTTTAATAAAGTTTACCCTTTTTAAAAACAGGTTTGGGTTTTTGTGTCCTAAGAGGTTTGTGCATATGTTGTTTAATTAGCTGGTGGCAATAGCTGATCTCCTTTGTTTTCTTTCTCAGCTCTTCCACGGAGGGCTTGAGAGTACCCCACAGGGAAGAATTCCCAAGTGTGCCTTCCTGAGTTCAAAGGGTTTTTTTTGCATTTGGGTGGTAGCAGCATCTACCCCTCCAAGGTCAGAGAGAAGCTGTAATCTTTGGAGTTTAAGAGTGGCCAGTATTAAGTTTTAGAATCCTTATGGGCCCCCACCTTCTGCACTTGAAGAGCCAGAGTAGGGAATCGTCCTTGACAACAGGAAAGGAATGTCTGTATATCAAAGCTGTTGGCTTTAGTTGTGGTGAGATTTTTGAAACTATCTGAGTGGAAAGAGCACATATCCCAATGACTTTCAAGGTACTTTTGAAAATACCACTCTCAGTCCCCAAGGGTGTAGGAGTGTATGTAGGCATTTCTAATATTTGCCATGTGAGAAAATGAAACATGGAAAGGCAAATTGTGATCATCTTCCTCAGTGGGAGTGTCTGGGTGCTCAGCACTTTTGAAAATCAAGCCATGTATTTAGGTACCTGAATGTGGGCTTAGGAGCCTAAGGCTTTTGCTACACAGAGCTCTTGTTGAATAAGCTATTCCCCATATGGACACTTCCAGAATAAAAATGATGTTATTCTGAAATAACTACTTTACTCACATAGCTCACTTTTATTCTGGAATAGTGTGTCCATGTGGGGGAATTATTCTAGAATAGCTAAATTATACCAGTAAAACTGGTATTTTCCTGTGTAGACAAGGCCTAGCTTTAGCCTCCTATTTTAAAAAAACTTGGCCTGTTTTTCCTGTTTATAGACAGGCTCTTTCAGGAAGCAGATGAATTGTCCAAGCTGGAAAGGCTACCACTCAGCCCAAAGTGCTGCTAAGATGATAATGCTGATGCATGGAACTTAAACTTCACATCTTCAAAGTGCTATACAATCCTTAACTAAGCTTCACACCACCCATGTGTGGCATATAAAATATTCCTATTTTATACCATGGAAAACTGAGATACAGGGCTGGATTCATTGCAGGTTTCACCAGCACAGCAAGCCTCCCGCAACTTTCCTCCTGTCTGGGAGGGTCTGCAGCTGGCCAGCACAGCTCCACTACTACATATTGTTGGCAAGGGGATGCACTGAGGCTGAACTACACTGCCTTTCAGCTTGGGACCAAGTCAGTTCAGATAAAAACAACTCAAATCTTTGCCAAAGAACCAAACTATGAAAACTATTAAAAACATATTCAAGTGACTTTTTATCCTCATATATTACTTCCATTCTTGCAATCTTGTGAGATTTTTCTAGCCCAGTTTTACAGATCAGTGAGGTCAAACTTTTAAACTCAGAGCACTTCTGTGAACTGAATCTTCACATTTTTTTCAGGTTTGTCTGTTCCTAATTGGTGGAGAAAGCTTTGGGGTGGGCTGCCCAAAATATACTCTTAAGATGCATATGAAGATCTGAATGGACATTTATGTTGGAGAAGTCATGAATTCTGGTTTGCTCAGGGTGCTGTTTCTGGATGAAGACACTTCTATGACAGACTTGAACTCTTGTCAGAACTACAGAGTACATCCAGGTGAGGGGTCAGTAATTGGTTCAGCTTCTCTCCTTTCTCTGACAGCAATTGTTTCTCTTTTCTGTGGAATGGGGAAGCGAGAGAGCGAGAAAAGCAATATAAACTGTTCAAAGGTATTTTCAAAGTAGTAAGAAAAATCTTTTCTAACCTTAAATCACCTAGAGCAATCAAACAAAGTTTAGGAGAGGATTTCTTCACCACTTTGGAACTGACATTAGATAACCCTTGTATCCCCAAATCCATAAACATTGAAAGCTCTGCATTCCACAACCCTTCCAAACTCACTCTCTTAATCACCCTGTTAACCTCACCAAAATTCATGATCACCCTTCCAAAACAAACTATATTCTCAAACTCCTTTGGATGAACATTAGCTCACAGATTCCACCTAAAGCAACATCAGAAAAACACCACACTGCATCTCTGTACCCCCCTGGAATAACTAGCTGCACAAAGCCATCCCCATATTTCCTCATGCCGCAAAACTCCTCTGGAATCAATGTTAGCTAACAGGTTTCGCCTGTAGCAGACAAGGAAATCATCAGTTGGGTTCAGATCATCACAGAATATGCTAGAATGAAACTACACTCATTTTTGTACCTGAGGAATTCTTGCTTCTCCTTCCACTGATGCTGGTCAAAATCCTTCATTTCTCTGCAGTGTCTCTGGTGCACTGTTTTGAAGGCATCATCCAGATGGCGAATATGATTAAAACCTTGTCGGATCACATCTGCATAGGTTGGAGTGGACTCCGTAGTTTGAAATGTAAAAGAAAAAAATATTGTCTGCTTTGTTTTTTCATTGCTAAATAACATATGAGAGGAACAATAGGGGATGCATAAGTTAGGACTGAGATGAATTGGTAGAGCTGTAGCAGGTAGGGGATGGGGGCTCAGGACTGGAATAGCACAGGACATTTAAGGTCAGGATTGGGGCATACTGGCAGAGCTTTATGTCAGGGAGGTTAGGATTAGAATAGCAGGGATCTTCATTGTTAGGATCAAAGGAGCAAGGGTGATAAAGGCTGAGCCTCCCTCCTGGCATTGCTCCCTTAAGTTTTATAAGCACTCAAACTCCCCAGTAGAAAAACTTGCATTTCAACCCCAATCTAATTTATTCCATGCCTTTTTCAATTAGACAGCATTTTATCTTCCATTTTTATTCAGGTGCTCCCTCCCATACTTGTTTTCTTAACCTTTCTGTTCTGTTACTGAGAGCCTGTCAGCCTGACTCTGTTCAATGCAAAGCAGTCCCCTTGAAGGTTACCACCAGTATGGTTATACATTGGCTCCACACTATCTGGCCTATCTATAAACGTGTTCTTATATCACCTCTTCTTCAATCTGGTCTCTGTCAGTCTGAAGCCATAATCAACTTCAGGTTTGGTCCTGCAATTGAACAAAGTTCTGCAGCCACACAGACTAAGCCAGCAATCCACCGACTGGGGAAGGAGAGTAAGCGAACTCGGACCTTTCTCTGTTTTCCTCGCTGAAGCGTATAAGAGGGCATTATAAACGTGATAAAGGGGCTAGGACTAATTTATGAAGAGAGATTAAAATAACTAAATATGTATAACTTGGCTAAGCAATGTCTAGGGGTATAAGAAAGGGATGTCACTCATTTACAATAATATGAAGGGTACAAACATAAAGAGGGAGACAATTGTGTTAGGTGGTCAGAAGATAGAACTAGAAGTAGTTGGATGAAAATGAGTGGTGATTAATTCAGGCTGGCTTTCAGGAAACACAAAGTATGAGGTTTGTTAGCTTGTGGAATAGTTTCTCAATGGAAGGGGGGAAGCCCTAAAGCTTGAGATATTTACTATTGAACCCAGAAAAAATTCAATAATATGCTGTAAGGAATAATTCTGCACTCGTGGGGAATGGATAGAACGTAACCTAACAAGATTTTTCCATCTCTGATTTCTCTGAGTTGATCATAAGGATATGGTATAGGCTTGCAGATCTCCCTCCTGTGAATCAAGATGTCTTGTCCAGACTGTGGTTCAACATTATAGCTCTGGAGGAAGTGCTGAATTAGTGGGCTGTGTCCATTGATGTTAAAGAGATGCCAAGTGAAGTCAGGGCCCTGACAAGCTGGGTGTGACTGGAGAGGGGAAGAAACAAAGGAAAAGAGGCTATTAATTATATCAAAACGAAGTCCAAAGAATAAGGCATGTAATATCCCTAATGATTCATATTCTGAGTGAAAGATAAAATAATCCCCAAATATATAGCCATTGGAAATGCAGTGAAACCTGTCCATATAGGCACCTGACTACATTGAGGTGGGAGATCACCCTGAAGCCGCCACCTCCTCCAGTATAGGGACTCGGCAGTGAGGCTGCATCTGACCCTGACACAGTGCAAGGGCTGGGCCTGCCCCAGAAAAACCCTGGGGCCCTGCCCCTCTGTACCAGGTGCACCAGGAGTGGTTGGGCAGGTTTAGCCCAGCAGGATCCAAGTGTGGAGGGGCTTATTGTGGGAGGATCCAGGTGTGGGGTGAGAGGTTTCTGTGTGGGGCAATCTGGGTGTGGGCAGCTCAGTGGGAGATCTGGATGCACAGGGCTCATTGGGGGTTCCGGGTGCAGGGCAATGGGACTCTGGAAGGGATCCATGTGAAGGTGGTTGGGGCTCGGGGGGGGGGGGGGTCTGGGAGTGGGGCTTGATGGGGTGGGGATCCAGGTGCAGCTGGTTGGGGATCAGTGGGTTGGGGGTCTGGATGTGGGGGGCTCATCAGAGGGGTCCAGGTGTAGAAGGGTAGGGCTTCTCAGAGTGAGGAGTCGATGGGCCTGTTTAATGGGGGAGCCCCAGCTGCTGCTGAGGGGAAAATGCATGCCAGGCTCCCACTTCCCCCCACAGTTCCCCATTCCCTTTTCTTCTCCATCCCCCTCCCCTCACTCCCACATTCACCTCCCCCTGCCCTATACCACCTCCTTCCTTCTCCACTGTCTCTTCCCCTCACCCCCCTCCCTCATTTTTTCCACCCCCTATGACATTATTGACATGAACTGTGACCGTATAGATCATTGTTGCAACCAAGCTTGTATAGTTGCACCAAATCTTGTACAAAAAACGTCAAGTAAGGTGTCTATGAAAAGGTTGTAATTTGCTGGTTATGATTATGCTGTCTGTATGTGTGTATCATTTTTGTATGTGAAGTTATGAATATGGGCTATGTACTTGTATTAAATATTATGGGCACTACTGGGAGGTGGTTCTAATTGAACATTTCACTATATAAGTACATTCTGATTCCCAGCCATCACAGTGCTACTGCAGCAATGGCAAACTGGCTGTGAAGGGTTGCTGTGTTAGGAATGGAAGAACTGTGAATCCAACCATCTGTTGTTAGACTGGGTGTGAGAAAGATTAAAAGCATCAAAGGGAAAGTGGTAAGGGAAGCTGGTTGTGGGAGAATCCACAACCACTGACTTCAGTATTATCTTGACCTGAACAAGAAAATGAAAATAAACCCAGAGTGCTATAGTAGAGAAGTTGTGCTCTAAAATAATTCAAATGTGTTGGGAATTTATTTAAGCTCTGTAATAGTACATGCTCCCAGGGGAGGGAGTTGAAGGAGGGAATAAGGGCTTCCCATACAGTCTTCTGTGGCAGAAGACTGAGGACTTTAATGAGGGACTTACACAGGCTGTAGAGGGAGGGTATGTGGATGTGCACTGGGAAAGCAAGTATTTGTCTGTATTAGCTAGGGCAAATCCACCACGACAACCACAGAATCATAGAAATATAGGGCTGCACGTGACCCCAAGAAGTCATCAAGCCCAGCCCTCTACACTGAGGCAGGACCAAGTAAACCTAGACCAGTGCTAAAGGTGTTTGTCCAGCCTGTTCTTAAAAATCTCCAGTGATGGAGATTCTGTAACCTCCCTTTGAAACGTGTTCCAGAGCTTAACTATCCTTCTAGTTAGAAAGCTTTTCCTAATATCAAAACTAAATCTCCCTTGCTGCAGATTAAGCCTATTACTTCATGTTCTTCCTTCAGTGGACATGGGGAACAAATGGTCACCAGCCTTTTTGTAACAGCCCTTGACATATTGGAAGACTGTTATCGGGTCCCTCCTCAGTCTCCTTTTCTCAAGACTAAACATGCCCAGTAATTTTTTTTAACCTTTCCCCCAGGTCAGGTTTTCTAAACCTGTTATGATTTTTGTTGCTCTCCTCTGGACTCTGTCCAACTGTCCACATCTTTCCTAAAGCATGGTGCCCAGAAATGGACACAGTACTCCTGTTGAGGCCTCACTAATGCTGAGTAGCGTGAGACCATTAACTCTTGTGTCTTATATACAACACTCCTGTTAATACACCTGGGAATATTAGCCTTTTTTGCAACTGCATCAGATTGCTGACTCATATTCAATTTGTGATCCACTATGATCCCCAAATCCTTTTCAGCAGTACTGCCGCCTAGCCGATTAATCCCCATTTTATGGATGGGATTTTGATTTTTCCTTCCTAAGTGTAGTACTTGTTTTTATTGAATTTCACCTTGTTGATTTCAGACCAGTTCTCCAATTTGTCAAGGACATTTTGAATTGTAATCCTGTCCTCCAAAATGCTTGCAACTTCACCCATCTTGGTGTCATCTGCAAATTTTATAAGCATACTCTTCACTTCATTATCCAAGTCATTCATGAAAATATTAAATAGTACCAGATCCAGGACTGACCCCTGTGTGACCCCACTAGATGCCTCCTCCCATTTTCCACTGAATGCATCCGATGAAGTGAGCTGAGGCTCACAAAAGCTTATGCTCAAATAAATTGGTTAGTCTCTAAGGTGCCATTAGTACTCCTTTTCTTTTTGCGAATACAGACTAACACGGCTGCTACTCTGAAATCCTCCCACTTTGACAGTGAACCACTGATAACTACTCTTTGAGTAAAATCCGTCAACCAGTTGCGCACCCACCTTGCAGTAATTTCATCAGGATCGTATTTCCCTAGTTTGCTTATGAGACTGTCAAGTGGAACTGTGTCAAAAGCTGTACTAAAATCAAGTACATGGGGCAGCTGGTGAGGATTCCTTTCTGGAGTTCCGAGGATATTTTGGTGTTAACAGCATGGGACAGGCACCAGTAGATGTGTGCCATACCAGAGGAGAGGAAACACTTACTCAGTCTGTCACAATTTCTCCCATCCCGTCTCGACGCACAGCATTACCTCTCTATGGAGTGGGGCGATCTTTAGCCGCCTTGTTTCAAATGTGTGTTGGGGCTGCTTCCAAACACTTTTCAGGTCATCCTTTTCAGGCTGCAAATCATGTGGCATGGTATGAGGGTTGATGCCTGTGGCAAGAAAGAAACATCAGCTGTAAGATATCTCCTCACCATTCAGTTGTTATCATACTTCTCTTAAATCAATATAGTAGAGGAATAAAGATGTGACTGATTCAGTAGAAGTAGTAGGAGGCAGTGATACACACATGCACACCATAAATCCATCCCAAAAGAAGCAATGGCACTAATTCAACCACAGAAAGAAAGCTCACACACATACAAGCAGTTCTGATATATTCTGATCAGTAGAAATCAGTGGGGTAAACAAACCCACTCCTACTTGTCATATGGGGAACACACACCTATTACATTGCAAGGGGAGCATGAAACAGCTAGTCCTTAGAAAGTCTGAATAAATCAAAGAAGGTTTCATCTTTCTTCCCAATCCTTTACCTTTAAAGGACATAGATGCATGTACAACTTCCTTGGAGCCGAGGTCCAGGCTTGTTTGATCAGGTTGGTGCTTGTTGACAGTTTGGCCCAAAGACATGCGTTTCTGGGACCAAGAAAGAAGGAAAGGAAGGAAAAAAGTTTAACGGACTCATACATCATGTTGATAGGATTAGTGCTTTAATAGTCTCTATCCCCCTGAAAAATGTTGTTTTTTTGTTCTGGGACCAAGAAAGAAGGAAAGGAAGGAAAAAAGTTTAATGGACTCATACATCATGTTGATAGGATTAGTGCTTTAATAGTCTCTATCCCCCTGAAAAATGTTGTTTGCCCCCCACTGATACATCAGTGCCCCCCACTGATACATAACTGCCTTTGAGGAGAAATACTGTCTCTATCAGCAACGCTACATAGTAGAGTCATACGAAAGGAAATAAAAAATAACCTCTTAAATTGAAACTACAGGAGAAATTTTAGGTTGGTAGAATGTAACTATGTGGGTTGGTAGATAGCTAAGACAGCTGCTGAATTCTCTGTGTAATGAAAAGTGACTGATGGGAACACTTCCTAAAATGCTCCAGCCTTCTGAAGCCATCTAGCTCTGGCTGCAGAATGTCTGGAAATGGCTTCCTTCAAAGGCTGTCAATTCAAGTTTGCTCAAGAGCAACAAACTAGCATTCTTTCCCAGCTTCCATCCTGCTGGCCTGGAGATCTACAGCATACATCTAGAGGTGACTGGGTTTTGTAACTTACTGAATCTCTAGAAATCCCTTCACCTCATAGCTCCTCCAAGAATCATGATATCCCTTTGCCACCCTCCAGCAACAGAGCAGTATGGGTGAGGGAAATACTTTTTCTCCAGAGGCAAGACCTAGGCTGGGCTGCGACCAATAGGTCCTGCTTGGGCTAGACAAATTCAGACTGACAATAAGGCATAAATTTTTAACAGTGAGAGTAATTAACCACTGGAACAATTTACCAAGAGCCGTGGCGGATTCTCCGTCACTGGCCATTTTTAAATCAAGGTTGGACATTTTTCTTAAAAGATCTGCTCTCGGAATTATTTGGGGGAAGTTCTGTGGCCTGTGTTACACAAGAGGTCAGACTAGATCTGTGAATATGCAATCCACTTGGATAAAATGGATATCATGATGTACACAAAGCTTCTTCCAGCTCACACATTGATCCAAAGAACAATAAAGGTGATCTGGGGACTGGAAGGACTGCTTTACTTATATTAAAAGAACAAAATACAATCGGCTATATTCAGCTTGATCTAGGGAGATGGAGGGGGTTTGATATAACTGTCTACAAACATTTGAAAGCAGACACTCTCAATAAAAAAATATAGAGATGAGCAAGACCCAGCCCTCATGTACATGTTTTATAGAAGGGAATAAAAGCCTTTGTTGGGGGTGGGGGAGGAAGGGAAGTGTATTCTTCCCTAAGGAAATGTTTGGTTAGTATATCCCATATGGTGGATTTCAAAGACAAAAATCTGTTTTTCTCCTAATTGTGTTTATTTTTCTAACACCATTTACTAAGGAACAGGCAGACCTCAATACTGATCATCCATTCCCTCCTCCCTCTTTCCCCAACACACATCCTTTACAATACAGTAAAGGTCAGCTGGAACCTAATTTACTCCCACTGTACATGAGCAAAATATGCTGCTCCAATCATGTCACTCCCCACTTTGAAGCTCTTCACAATCACTGACTTCTATATCAAGTTCAGTTTTCTCAACCTTTCATTCAAGACTTCTGCAAAATTCAGCCCCTGCCCACATCTCACTTAATACCGGCCTCCCACTGCCTGTGCTCTTTCCATGCCATGCTTCTCAATACCTCTTTTGTACTTTTTTCTCCACTCTTATCTTCATCTTCTATGAAATATCCGCACCCCTGAGAGATATAGTTAAACCGATGTAACCCCCAGTGTAGACAGTGCTAGGTCAAATTAAGAATTATTCTGTCAACCTAGCTACCGCTTCTTGGGCAGATGGATTAACTACAGTGACAGGAGAACCCCTCCCACCAGTGTAAGTAGTGTCAATGCTGCAGCACTACAGCAGCACAGCATTTCAAGTGTAGACAAGACCTTATACACAGAACACCTTCCCTGCTTCTTGTGCACCAAATGACCACCTTTTCCTCCCTCCTAAAACGCTGCTATTCTGCAAAGCTCATCCGTGTTAATATGCGCAGGAAATCAGTGTTAACCTTAGGCTGGAAATTAGAAGGTTTCTAACTCTCAGAGGACTGAGGATATGGAACAGCCTCCCGATAACAAGCGTGGGTGCAAAAAATCTAACTAATTTTAAAATGGAGCTTGGCAAGTTTATGAATGGGATTATATGACAGGAGTGCCACAGTAACAGAAGACTGGACTCGATGACCCAGGATGTCTCTTCCAGTCCTATGTCCTGTATTCCTTAATCTATCAAAGAAAGAAATGTATTTATAAGCAACAAAAAGATACCTACTCTGATATCTAATCTAAGATAACTGTTTTATCTATAGCATTTCTAAGATACTGGTCACCTTTTATCTAAGTACAGACATTACTGCTTTTACATCAGTCCATCATCTGGTCACTTGGGCCAAGATTTTCAAAAACAGGAGCCTTACCTTAGACTCAAAAAGAAGGAGCGAGAGTTTCAAAATCGGAGCACTTAACAGTTCCCATTAATACCAAAGGACATGCTAGGTGTGCAGCGCTTTTGAAATCTGACTATTTATTTAGGTACTTAAATATGGATTTAGGAGACTAGCTATAGGCTCTTAATTTTGAAAATCTTGATCCTTGTGTTTTATGAACTTGATCTTGCACTTTCTTTGCATGTAGAATTCTCATATGTTCTAACTTAGAAGATAAGGCCTTGTACAAAACAGAGGAAGACAGAGCATGCTGACATGCCATAAAATCCATAAATAATAAGTTACTGTTGCTAGCTGGTTAAACTTGGAACACAAGCAATGTGCTAGATTATTAGTGAATTAACAAATAAATAGTGAGAAGTGATTGTACGTTTATCCATAAAAATAATTCACGCTGCTTCATCTCCCTTTTTGTGTAACAAAATTAAATCTGCAGACACACTGACTTCGGTCTCTTTCTACTTTTGAGATGAGTACAACCATATCACTTGGGTCAGTGCCTACCATTGTGGCTATTTAAAACATTTTAAAAACACTTTTAAGCACCAAGAAAAGTTATTTGCTGCAATGCAGCAATGCAGCAACAATATCTATCTTATCATTTAACCAGACACTCAAATTCACAGTTATAGATGGAGTGCTCACATTTCACTTGCACTACATCTTTTCATTGAAGAGCTCCCTTGCTGTTTCAATATGAGTTTCTAATCATGGTACACTTTCACCTGTAATACAGTAGAACCTCAATTTTATGAACACTAGTCTTATGAACAATCAGTTATATGAACCATTTTTTCTGAAAGGAAAAGAAATCATTTAAACAAAAGTGATGTCAGTAAAGAATAAGTTAACATCCCTTCGTGTTCCAATTCCTTCAGTGCATTGGAAATTGCTTTGCAGTAGTTTGAAGAAGAGGAAAGGAATGCGGTACACCATACTGCAACTTATTCACCATACCTACTGTAATTTGGAGATATTCAATTTTATGAACTCCTCAATCCCCAAATATTTCGTAAAATAGGAATTCTACTGTATTCAGATTTTGTGAATCTTAGTAATATTCAAGCACTTGAAACAGGCGTCTAAACCAAACATGCCCGTCTGTCCCCCCTGCCTCTCTGACTTCTTTGTTTCTTGGGAAGATTCTTCCTTGGCTCAGGGAATAAGACTATGGGTAATGATTATCAAGGTCTAAGGTTAGCTAGTAAAGGATTCCCTCTGAGTGTAAATCCAAAGATAGCAGAGGAATTGTACAAAGTGTTTACAAAAAACATAACTCAGAGTAATGGGACGAAGATGAGCAAAGATAAAAAAATAGATGGCTGTTAGGAAACCTTTCCAAATGGTGAGGGGAAAGTCCCTTCTCCCAAGTCATTTAACAGCCAATTGGACAAAAGAAGAGGGAACAAATCTGCACTGGCAGGAGAAAGGGGAAAGGTGAAGAGATGTGAAATGGATCATTTCAGTCTCAAATGTCTCTGTTTCTATGACATCCTCCCTTGCCTTGTTGCATGTCTTCATGAACAAGATGCTCTTTACCTTGTATGGTTGAATGGATGGCTGAGGAGTCTTTTCTGGGTTGCCAGAAGCCTTTGAGGAAGCAAAGGGGACAGAGGATTCTGGGAAAAAACAGTGATACATATTGGTCATCATTTTAAAATCTGTGACCTAGGACCAAGCCCTGCTCGAGAGAACACTCTCTACAAAACTCTGTTTACTTGCGACTCAATGCAGTCACTGAATGAGACCTTGATTCTGTCCCTGTATTTACAGTCTGTATTTGGTAAGGTCCTTTGTGTTCCTTATCGAATGATGAATATTTTCCTCCATCCCTATTAAATGCACCACCCTTGTTGCAATCACACATGTCATGACCTCGGATGGGATCCCCTTTGGGATCTGTCAAAACCACTTCTAAGCTGGCCAGAGTGGGTACTGATGAGTAACATAATGTGCTCCCTGCTTCCCTCCAGCACTTGCATCCCTCGCTGACCCAGAGAGGAATGAGAACCTAGGACAGGGAACGAAGCCAGGTCTCCCCCACGGCAGTGCAGAGTATTACTCCTATAGAACCAAGCCTGGTCCCTGCAGCTCTCCCGTTGCCTGATGAAATAAAGAATAAGAAACAAACAGAGAATTGAATGCAAATCTGCATGCTGGCAAAGAGCACTTATCCCTGCTTAGGACAGGTCATCGCCAATCATTCAAAAGTTCTTTAGCCAGGATGCTCTGTTTGCAAATGAGTATTTATCAGTTCTCTCTGACAAAAGGGCAGCTCACGAATACATCATTCAGATACAATATATCAGCATGAAGCCAGGCATCTGACTCATGCTATGCCATTTTTCTAGTTCCACAGCACAGCTGTTTGTTGGTCCTGCAAAGACAAGGCATCTTGTATGGAACAGTGGATGCCTGGTTTGGACACCAACCCCCTGTTTAGCTCAGCAGAAACATGGGGTGAAGCTATCGTCAGTGCTCTTACCTGTCCTCTGCTTTCCCTTTGTTGACAGCAAGTCTTCCCTCCTAAATCTCTCTGGTTCCAGGTGGGAGTAGTCCCAGCTACTGTAGCTCCCTGGGACAGGCAGTGTCCCTAAGGGGGAGGGTAAATAAGAAATAGAGAGACTGGAAATGAAGAAGAGAGAAACAGCAAAAGAAGTAGTAACAGAAAGAGAGAATACAGTTTGGCACTTTTCATCTTCAGAGTTGCAACTAACATTAACTAAACCTCACAATGCCCCAGAAGATGCTCTATCATCCACATTATACGGATGGAGATGCCAAGGCAGAAAACTGGTAATTGACCAAGACATCAGAGGAAATCTGCCCCGGAACTGGACATAGAATTCAGGAGTTGCTTGCTCCCAATCCTATGTTCATCCTATGATTAAGACTAATATTAAAATTATTATTTCACTTGAGAGGAGAATATAAGAGACAATCAAAGTAACAGAAAGAGAGAGTGATAATGAAGGTGAGAATGAGACAGAGAGCAGAATGAAGAGACATATAGAAGTGGGATAAACTGAGGAAGAAGGGGGTGGTAAGAGCAAAGTGAAAACCCAGTTTGCAGGGAGTATTCATTGCTTCAGAGGCTGAAAATGTCCGCTGGACTTTTATCTCCTGTCTATCAAAGAGGCATGAACTCCAGGAAGAAAACATCCCACCCAGAACGCCTGACTCCCAGGAATTGATTTTATGTTTGCTGCAGGCCACCAAGGTGAGCAAGATGATGGACAAAGGATGACCAGGAATTTCTCCCAGAGATCAGGAAATTGTGTGCCAGGGTCCCATATTTAGAGCTGGGTGAAATTTTTTAGATTAACAGTTTATTCACCAAAAAATGAAGTTTTGGTCAACCTGAAACTATTCATGAATTTGACTCAGTTTTGACAGAGAAAAACTTTTTCCAGGCCAGCAACTAGGAGATATGGATTCAAATCCCTCCTCTGAATCAGGCAGAGAGAAGATATGAATCCACATCTCATACCTCCCAAGAAGGGCTTTAATTACCAGGTTATAGAGTTTTTGTCACCAGGGCCACACAGAGATTTTGGGGGATCCAGGGCAAAATCCAAAACCACACTCTTCCAAAACAATTACCACTAAGGGGAAGCCCCGGCGGGAGAGCGGGGAGGTCTGAAGAGCGAGCTCACCCCACAGTGACGGCTCCTGTCCCAATGGGCTGGGCCCAGCTCCCCACCCTGGGCATGGTGACATGGCGCACAGGATCACAGTACCATTCTGCCTGACCACTTTTCCCTCATGATAGAGGGGCTGCCAGACCAAACCTGAGTGGCACTGTGACCCCACAGACCAGGCTACAACCCAACGCAGTTTAAGAGCCCTCAAATGGGGGCCTGGAGCAAATTGTCATCCCCCGTACCCTCCAGGCAGCCCTGGTCCTCATTCACTCTCTCTTTGGCCCAGTGAATATTTAAGTATTTATAGAAAGTGAAACTGCTTCCACAGGAGACTGAGAGCAACACAGGTTAAACCAGCCTGGTGGTTACAATGCCTACCTGGGAGAGGGGAAATCTGAGTTCAAGTCCCTGCTCCAGAGTGGGGATTCAAACCTGGGTCTCCCATATTCCAGGCAAACACCCTAATCACTGGGCTAAAAATTCTGGACATGGACACGCAGTTTGCTAGTCTGACAACGACTTTTCACGTTTGCTGACAACTTCTGAACATTTTCAGAACTGAACAGAGCATTTTTTCTGATTCTTTTGGTCTGCTCTCTGAACCAAAAAGTCAATTATTCACTCAGTTCTATCCTTATGTTCCTCTCTATTCTTTTTGTTCCTTAGTACCACAGGATGGAAGGGGGGCTAGAGACATTTTTATTAAGGCCAGGGAAGGAAGGCAGTTTGAAAGGCTCCTCCATTTGGCTGAATATGACCTGCACGTATTGCCTTTTAAGCGGGAAGAAAAGACCCTCTCACCTGCCATCCACTCTGACAGCACATTGCAGAGCTGGGACTTGAACTCATGTGTATTGAACCAGGATCTTGGAAAACTGGAGCAGAAGCAGGTGTACAAAGTTTGGCTCAGCAATGAAGGGAAAACCTAAGGGTAAAGCAAAGAAAAATCAGAACTCTATCAATCTGGACAGGTTAGATGAGAGACTGGGACAGACTGTTCCTTCTTAGAGCTTAAAAGGAGCTGTATTCCTTCCTCCTATATACAGGGACTATCCAAAATTCCAGTCCACACAGATTCAGTCATAAAGGAATATCCTCCATTTTAATATAAACAATCATTTAGCCAGCATTGTAATTTTGTTTCTTGTGCCATTTCTCCTGTTTTTTTTTACATTAGAAACATCAAGAATGTTAAGTCTGATTTGTTGGAAGACTTCTTAGTGTACGTGGACCTCTCATACCTTAACTGAGGGGATGAGGGGGATGCTGAATCCTAAACAAAGCCATCCTGTCTCCTAAGTATTTGTTCAACACCGGCATTACACAGGTGTTCAGACACACAAACCAAAACCTAAGTTTCAAACAGTTTGAATAAAAATCTCTTCCCTTCAAAGTTGCTCAGCTTTCAGTCCCTTGTGATGTCACTAGTTTTCCAGTCATTATAGAGTCTTCTAGGGGGAGAAAGGAATTTCTAAATCTAAGAAACAAGCAGAAAAATGTTTGCATAGTTGGAAGCAAAGGAGGAGACAAACCCCCCCCCCTTTTTTTAAATTTGGTCATGTTTACCAAAAGGAAGCAAGAGGCCACAGAATCAGATAGGCCTTCAGTGTGGAAATACAAGATCCCTGGAATAAGGATAAAAAACTGAAGTGAGAGGAAGAAAGAGAGCCAGACAACAAAGTCAAGGGAAAATGAAGAAAGGAAACTGTGGCAGTAAATAAATAACTCAAGTAGAGAGGGCAGAAAGAATTGGATGGAGTGCATCTCAATGGAGGCAAAGGAGCAGGGTGGGGGAGAAGTAAACCTATCCCCTCAAAAACAAAAACCACCACGGCACTAACATGTCATTTGCTGCCATCACATACTTCACTCTGCTTGTGTGTTCTACCCCTTCCCCCCATCCTGAGTCTGTCTTGTCTGTTTATATTATAAATTCTTCAGATCAGGTACCATCTATTAGTCTATGTTTGTACAGCACCTCACACAATGGGGCCCCATTCTTGGTTGTCCCTTAGGCACTACTGTAATAAATATGATTAATAAATAATTAATAATAATTAATAATAAAGTGTGAGAAGTAGATACCAATGCTTCAACTTACTGAGTGGGGAGAATTGGAGAAGAAAAGGCAATCACAGATGCTGAGTCAGATGGAGAATTAGTTTTCAATGAGACAAGGAGATGGAAGGAGTCCGAAATAAAAAGGTTGGGGATCAGGGTTAGTTTCTTGAAGATGAACCAGAAATTACAGAAGAAACAGGGAACAAGGAATTCAGAGGATGAGTAAGGATGAAGGAGAAGAGCCTGTAGGATGGGGTGAAGGCATGAGGATGAACAAGAGGAGGGTATGAAGAATGAACCTTGATGGGGAGAGACAGAGCAGCTCCTCAGATCTCATTATCCCTACCCATGATTTTAGGTTATTAAAAGATATTCACAAGACAAGAGCATGAACCATATTGGCCATCATGGAGCATTCCAAACTGTGGCGATATTAGACAAGATAGTCTGATATTCAACAAGAGTTAAAGGCCAATTGATCACTGCACATTCCAAGCCCTGGAAGAATTAATTAGTAAATGCCCGTGCAGCATTCTAAAAATATAAAGTGTTATATATGGGGTAACTGTTGTTAGTGTCAGATTATCCCTGTGGCCAGAGATAAAGGGGCGGATAGTGGTGGATATTCCCAGGTCATTTCACTGCTTAAGTGTAAACTCTATTGCTTTTTCTAAACCTTTTTACACTCACTTTAATAAGAGCATTCTGGTAGTGGAACTTGTGACAGTCAAACAGGAGGGTGGCATAATTCTTTGCAATGCGATCAAACAGTCGTCCCTGAATCTCTCTATTTGGCTACCAAGAAAGAAAGAAAGGAATGAATCATCATAGAGGCATTCCCCTCCCCATCAAACCACAGCAACATGGAGATCCTCAAGCCTGTCTGAAGGTTTATGTTCTACTATGACATGAGCAGAATGGATTGATTTAAATCACCAATTTTAATAATGATTTAAATCAGCAAGCAGGAAACGTTGATTTAAATAATCTATTTTAATCTTGTTATCTATTTGTACTCGTTAGCTATTTTCCTAAATAAAGTTTGAGTCTCAGTGGTTGGTAACCATTAAAACATGTTGATTTGTAACTAAATAGAGCCTTTACACTAAATTTGGTACATCTGACCTCCTTTATAAAGCATTTTGAGATCTACTAGTAAAAGCACTATATAAGAGCTAAGTTTTATTTTAATTATTTTATTTTGCTAACCAGGATGATACACTATACAGGAACTCTTCACTTAAAGTCGTCCCGGTTAACATTGTTTCATTGCTGATCAATTAGGGAACATGCTCTTTTAAAGTTGTGCAATGCTCCCTTCAAACATGGTTTGGCAGCCCCCTGCTTTGTCCACTGCTTGCAGGAAGAGCAGCCCGTTGGAGCTAGCTGCTAGGGGCTTGGAACTAGGGTGGACCATAGCAGCCCCCATAGCAGCTCCCCTAAGTTCCCTGTGCAGCAGCTGCCCAGCAGGCTATCAATTCGGCAATTCAGCTGTCCCTCTGCCACTGCCATGTGCTGCTCCTGCCCTCTCCCTTGAAGCTGCTCCCTGAGCCTCTTGGGGAGGGGGTAGGGTGGGGTGTGGCTAATGTCAGGGTGTCTCCCTCCCCCCTGCTCCTGCACCCCGCTTACCCCATCTTCCATAGAGCGGAGGCAGCAGCTGAGGTGGGTCTCAGCTTGCTGATCTAATTAACAAGGCAGTGTACTTGAGACAGGGATCAGCATACTTAAAGGGGAAATGCACATCTCTCTCTCTCACACACACACAGGGTGTGTGTCTCTGTCTGTTATGCTATCTCCCCTCCCTTCATTCCTTCTGCCTTGTAGAGCGTGAGGCTACATTAACAACGAGTTTAACCCTTGAGGGCTTGTTCATCATTTTGCAGTAAGGCATTCCCTGGGAAATATCCCACCCTCTGACTTCACCACCTCAACCAAGCTTCACAATCATCATTGCTGTGTACCAGTATTAAATTGTTTGTTTAAAACTTATACTCTGTGTGTGTATATATATAATATATAATATAGTCTTTTGTCTGGTGAAAAAAATTTCCCTGGAACCTAACCCCCCCATTTACATTAATTCTTATGGGGAAATTGGATTAGCTTAACATCATTTCGCTTAAAGTCACATTTTTCAGGAACATAACTACAACATTAATTGAGGAGTTCCTGTATTTATGGACATTTATTTAAGCGATTATATAGCTTAACATATATTTAGTTTAAAATGGCAAATGATGCGTTTTGTATTTACACCTGATGATTAATTTTTTGCTCATGATTTGTGTCAAGGAACATTTGAATGAAAATTGGAATTCAATTAAAACTGCAAAAAACATAATTTAAAAATTTTTATTAGTTAAATAAAACTATGTTTAATGTCCTGGATACATGGGGAAAAGCATAAATTTATCAAAACATATTTTGCATTTAAAACTAGCTGATTTATTAAAATATTATCTGTAGTTATGAATTTTGAACTGATAGTTTCTGGTCATCAACTTCCAATCAGTTTCTCAACTTTGAATGAGCTAACCATTGAACTGAACTTGTTGAATAAAATGAAATGAAGAAGAGGCAGTCAAAAGCTGGTTTAGAACTTCAACTTTGGTTCTAGGTGTTTAGCCAGTTCAATGGTTGGACTTTCTTTAAAACTTCAGCAGCAAAGATGTACTGCTTGAATATTACTTTTTAAATTTAATAGATTACAGTAAGTGTAGGTGTTAACGTAGAGTGTAATAAAGGACAGTTACCTTTTCCGTAACTGGTGTTCTTTGAGATGTCTTGCTCATGCCCATTCCATATTAGGTGTGTGTGCTCGCCACATGCACCGGTGCTGGAAGTTTTTCCCTTAGCAGTATCCATAGGGGACTGGCTCTGGTGCCCTCTGGAGGCTCCCCTACCCTCCCTACATGGCACTGCCAGCTCTCCCCACCTTCAGTTCCTTCTTGCCGGAAACTCCAACAATGGGGAAGGAGGGCAGGTTGTGGAATGGACGTGAGCAGCACATCTCGAAGAACACCAGTTACAGAAAAGGTAACTGTCTTTTCTTCTTTGAGTGCTTGCTCATGACTACAAAGCAGTACCCCTGGAGGTTGGTAGGAGTTCACGGACGTGTAGATTGCAACACAGCTCTGCCAAACCCAGCATCGTCCCTGACCTGCTGAGTGATGGCATAATGAGCGGTAAACATGTGAACAGAGGACCACATTGCAGCTCTGCAGATGTCCTGGATAGGGATATGCACCAGGAAGGCTGCCGAAGACGCCTGAGCTCTGACAATCGGCGGCGGTAGAACCCCTGCTAGGTTATAACAGTTCCTTATGCATGAGGTGATCCTATTGGAAATCCTCTGCGAGGATACCAGATGACCCTTCATCCCATCCACTGTAGCGATGAAGAGCTGAGTTGATTTATGGAAAGGCTTGGTACATTCTAAGTAAAAAGCCAGGCCCTTCGGACATTCAGCAAGTGAAGATGCCTCTCTTCGCTGGTCTTGTGCGGTTTGGGACAGAACACTGGGAGGAAGATGTCCTGGTTCATATGGAAGGTAGACACCACCTTTGGTAGGAAGGCTGGATAGGGTTGCAGCTGAACCTTGTCTTTGCAGAAGACCATGTATGGCGGATCTGAGGTCAAGTCTTTAATTTCAGAGACTTGACTCGATGACGTCACCACCACCAGGAACGCAACCTTCCATGACAGGTGGGAAAGGGAGAAGGAACCCAGCAGCTCAAAGGGCGGGCTGGTGGGCCTAGAGAAGACTAAGTTAAGATCCCACTGCGAGACAGGAGTCCGTACCTGAGGAAAGAGTCTCTCGAGCCCTCTCAAGAATCTGTCCGCCATGTCATGGGAAAATACTGTCTATCCTTGGATCGGCAGGTGAAAAGCAGAGATGGCCGCGAGATGCACTCAACACGGCTGCTACTCTGAAACCTGTCTAATGGAAGTGTGTGCCAGGCCCTGGTTCCTCAAATGAAGCAGGTAGTCCAGGACAGCCTGTATGGAAGAATGCGAAGGAGAGATGCCACACTCGGACGCCCAGCAGGAAAACCTCATCCACTTGGCCAGGTAAGTCAGTCAAGTTGAGGGCTTCGTACTTCCCAGGAGGACCTGCTGGACCTCCTCCGAACAGGTCCGCTCTTCCAGGTTCAGGCACTGAACATCCACACCGAGAGGTGGAGGGACGCAAGGTTGGGGTGTAAGAGCTGACTGTGGTCCTGTGACAGCAGGTCTGGTCTGTTGGGTAGGGGCCAGGTAGGGGCCGCTGATAGGTTAATGTATGTGCGAAACCAGTGCGATCATGATAACCTGCACCATGTCTCTCTTGATCTTTGCCAGGACCTTGGCGAGGAGTTGGATCGGAGGAAATGTGTACATCAGACCCTCTGACCATGGCAGGAGGAAGGCATCGTAGAGGGAGTCCCTGCCAAGAGCAAAACCAGTGACAGTTTATGTTTTGCCTGGTGGCGAACAGGTCCACTTGGGGAGTTCCCCACCTCTGGAGGACTATGTAGGCTACGTCGCAGTGGAGCGACCACTTGTGGTGAGGGGAGAAGGCCCTGCTGAGGTGATCTGCTAGCATGCTCTTGATGCCAGGGAGGTGACAAGCCTCCAGGTGGATCCCAGGATCGATGCAGAAGTTCCAGAGACGGAGTGCCTCTTGGCAGAAAGCCAATAAGTGCGCTCCTCCTTGCCTGTTGATGTAGAACATTGAGGCTGTGTTGTCCATCAGGACTCTCACCACGTTGCCCGACAGGTGAGGTAAGAAGATGCTGCATGCCAATCGGACCGCTCTGAGTTCTTTGACGTTTATGTGGAGTGCCATTCTCCATCGGGGACCACATACCCGGGTCTGGAGATCTCCGAGGTGCACACCCGAGCCAAGGTCCGAGGCATCTGACACCAACTCAAAGGAGTGAGGGGGGCTGTAGAATGGAACTCCCTCTAGGGCCTTCTCACGATCGGTCCACCATCACAGCAAGGTGAGTACTGCCAGGGGGATGGTCACTATCTTTTTCAAGTGATCCCTGGACTGGGAATAGGCCATCGTCAGCCACTGCTCCAGAAGCTGCATACGGAGCCTGGCATGGTGGACAACGTACGTGCAAGCTGCCATGTGGCCCAGCAGATGCAGGCAGACCCTGGCTGTAGTCAGGGGGAACATGGACACCTCTGCGATAAGGTCTGTCAAGGCCCAAAACCTTTCTAGTGGCAGGAACGCTCTTGCGCAGGTGGAGTCGAGCACCACCCCCATGAATTCTACCCTTTGCACTGAAACTAACGTGAACTTTTTATTATTCACCAGTAGGTTCAGGGAGCGGCATGTGTCTTGCAGCACCGCGACATCCCTTTGGATCTGAGACCTAGAGCTGTCTTTGACAAGTCAGTCATCATGGTAAGGGTAGAGCTTTATACCCTGGTGTCTGAGGTAAGCCACCGCCACCATCAACATACACTTGGTAAACACCCTCGGTACTGTCACCAGGCCAAATGGGAGGACCGTAAATTGGTAGTGGCGCGGTCCCACCATGAAACAGAGAAAATGTCTGTGCCCTTGCAAGATCGCTATGTGGAAGTATTCGTCCTTTAGGTCAAGGGCATCATACCAGTCTCCCAGATCCAGGGAGGGGATGATAGAGACCAGGGAAACTATGTGGAACTTCAGTTTCTTTAGGTACTTGTTGAGATCTCGCAGGTCCAGAATGGGACGTAGACTGCCCTTGGCCTTTGGGATTAAAAAGAATCAGGAATAAAAACCCCCGTTCCTGTACTCTAGAGGAACTTCCTCCATT